GTGGAGTCCATCTTTGTAGCGCGATGTTTTAAGAAAATATCGTTTATTCGCGTCGCGTTCGGTGTGAATACTTTTGGTGCGTTAAATTCGCCTGCGTTTTTTTCGCTTTTTCGTCTCGCTAATTCGCGTCGCGTTCGGTGTGAAAAGGCCTTTACTCATGCATCAATAATATTTTTCGAACCAATAACTTGTCAATGATACATTGCACACCGCCGACGTAATTTCGCGATGCGAAAAGCGACATTAATTTTTTTTGCCTCCGGGTCGATTTTTCCAACTCGTCTCGGCGACGGCAGCACCTCTGACCAATCACAATGCAGCTTGTTGACATGTCAAATTCAACATGGCGGACCGCTTAATTAAATTTGTTTCAGCGAATTCAGTTATCTATGATAAAAAGGACAAAAACTACAAAGATAATGAATACAAAGATAACGTATTGTGACGACCGCTAGCTAGGTTGAGAGGAGCTGGCCCGAGCCTGTCCTACACTGAGACACCTTCTTTGTCTTTTCTTGGGTTTTATTGAGCAGAACAGAGAAAGCAAAATAACTGTGATTTACCTGGCACCGTGTGCTCACAGGAGAATGAAATAGCAAACTGAAAACAGTAACAACATTCCCTCGGGGCATTCCGTGTCCCGCGCCAACAGAATCTAAACAACACGCCCACCTGTCATCCCTCTTATCCCCTCCCGCACCTGTTCCTCCCCCCATCCCACATTGGCCAGAACAGCGCGGCATTTTGCAGACAACAGCAGTAACCAATACATGAACATAAGCGGCCGGTCAGGGTCGCCACAATACTTTGTTATTGCGACTGTCCGATAAATTTGACCAAATTAATTTCCGTTAGAGAACTCGCGCACATTCTATCATTGAAGGTTTTCTTTAGGGGTGGGCGGATCGATCCTTAAGTATCTATACATCGATTCTAGGCGTTGTATCGATAAGGATCGATCCTCACATAAAAATATCAATATTAAGGGTCTTTTAAATTTATTTAGCATGAAATATATGTAGACGGGTGGAAATGCACCTGTTAGACTTAGGTATGGAAAAAGGGGTGCTACCGCTTTTAGAGAAGTAACCCTGGGAACGAAGAGGATGCTGGGTATCGATCCAGTGGATACAATATTTAAAACGAGCTTGTATAGAACTATCTCTTATGCAGCTCCTTTCACACGCACATTGCTCACCCCTCCCTGATTTGCTGTGTTTCGTTGTCCTACCATCACATGACTCAGCAGCGCCATATCCAAGCAAGCAGAGTCTTTTAGCTGCTAGTGATGGGAAGTCCGGCTCTTTTCACAGATTCGGCTCTTTTGACTCGGCTCTCTTATAAGAGCCGGCTCTTGTGGCTCCCAAGCGGCTCTTAATTTATTATCACTCTGCGCCTTATATTTCAGCCTAATTTAGCAATTATAAATGGTTTGTGTGTTTCTAAGCATTTGTTTATTCGGTGTTTTCATAAAAGCCTTATTTTTATCCAGTTTTCTATTTCAAAAAATAGACAGTCACTACCGTTTAACATTTTAATCAAACCTTTAAATTAACTGTACACAGAACCACAGCAAACTAATCAAACAAATAAAGAACAAAGTCTTAACATTATAACACTTTCGATAATAGTCTTTAGTGGAGGTTGGCATTTAGAAATACCAGAAGCCTCAGCTTGGCTGGGCAGTTCTTAGATGTCTGTGCAAGTTTGTTGTTGACCCTGCTCTGACAGATATTTTCATTTTACAAACTCGGCACTCAGCTTTGCAGTCTCCATTATCACTGAAATGCATCCAGATGCTGCTTCTTTTTCGGTTTTCGGACATTTCCTCCGTTTTTCCCGAAGCGCTTGCTTTTAACCTGGCTCCCCGTCTGTGTGTACCTGTCCTGTACTACCACTACACTCGCTGTCTGAGCGTCTGGCCCCGCCCCCTTACGTCTTTCACATAATGGTATGAGTCTAGTCTGTCCTCGCACGTGATTGGTCGAATGGTGCACCCATAAAAATAGTCTCGCTCTTCTGTGCATGGATTGTCAGCAGAGCTGACCACTCGCGGCTACATGTGGATAAGCTATACAGACTAAAATTTATTATTTTGTTATTTCACCTAGGTGATTCCCCAAGAGCTATAAATATTACAAGGAGCCTTGCTGAAATGATCGCAAAGGACCTGCAACCTCTCTCTGTCGTTGAAGATGAGGGTTTTAGGAATTTTGTCAAGACACTGGATCCACACTACAGAATTCCAAGTAGGAAAAATTTGATGAAAGGGAAAATACCAGCACTGTATGAAGAGTGCCACTCAAGGGTGAAAAAATGTCTAGATGGTGCAAATAGTGTTGTACTCACAACAGACATGTGGACATCAAGAGCCACAGAGGCTTACTTAACTGTCTCATGCCACATTATTGATGAGAACTGGCAAATGCAAGCCTATGTTCTAGAAACCTGTAGTTTTCCAGGACAACACAGCGCTGAAAACATTTGCTCAGAATTGAAAAGAGTCACTGATGAATGGGGCATAACAGACAAAGTTCAGGCTGTAATCACAGATAATGGAGCGAACATTGTTGCGGCTGTGCGCAAAGCAGGTTGGGCAAATTATCCATGTTTTGCACATACCCTAAATTTAGTAGTAAAAGACTCCATTAAGGCTCTCCCTGATCTTCTTCACATCCAGCAGAGATGCAGTGCTATTGTAGCTTTCTTTCACCACAGCACAAGAGCAGCAGAGAAGCTCAAAGAAGTTCAGAACCAACTTAAGTTTCCAGAACACAAACTGATACAGTCAGTTGAAACAAAGTGGAACTCCGTGTTCTACAAGTAGCGAAATGATTTCGTCACACCCGTGTCGAGGTACTCTGCGTTGTGATTGACCCGGCTGGAGACAATCTTTCAGCTACAAATGTCTTTATTGCTGGTACAGAAGAAAATATGACAACAGAACAGCTTTAGCTCCGTGGCATTCAAATTAACTAAAAGGGAACAAAAAACAATTTTAGACTTAGGTACTGTTAGGTATTTTTAGTCCGATAGCTATTGGATAGATACTTTATGTATTAGAAATGTTTAGTGGAGATAGGATGTCTAGTTAGACTGTTAAATGCTTAGTCATGCTTATGAGTTTCTACAGGGTACATCTGGTCAAGGATAACTAGAGAGAAGAGTTGATGACTGTCAGCAGACAGGGTGTTTAATATTATTATTATGACGTGTATAACTGTAGCCTTAGCCATAATAGGTTCTTATGTTTAAGCCACGACATGTTACTAGAGGTCGTGAGAATGTTTTTAGCTACACACCACTTAACCAACAGACATACACATTCACACGTTGATTTACTTCATGTTTTGACTACTGCTAGAGCCAGCTGCAAAGCTGGTAACAGAGACGTCCCGGTTGACGTTTCTGTGTAGTATGGGGCTAGCCCAACCAAAGGGATATAATGTATAGGCCTGGTGGATTCAGGGTCTTTCATCTTACATCTGCCTGCGAGAAGTTTGGAGGTGCAAGATACCTGAGCGTGTAATGTTAATTTTTACCTGTGCTCATGGAATAAATCAGCATTGTTTTGAAGTTACTTGGACTGTCTCGTCTCTCAGAGATAGCAATGGTAAGAAGAACCAAAGACCAACAAAAGACTAAGGTTATTTGGAGTGCAGGGGACACTCCTGAGGACCTCCGACACAGCAATAGCATCAGCCATCTACTATGGAATGGTCAGCCGGGGCAGCAGCATGTCGGCCACAGACAGGAAGTGACTAGACAAACTGGTCAAGAGGGCCAGCTCTGTCCTGGGAAGTCTTATCTTATTCTTATTCATTGTGATTATCAGTATTGCAGACTTTGCAGAATGTACAGAGGGGTAGTCCATAGATGCAGAGGCATGACTATCTCCCCCAGGAACTCTCATGGAATTTCTGCGACATGTACTAGACTTTTTTGAAGTTGTTAATTTTAATTAATAATGTAATGAAATTATGAAATGCAAACCCCAATTCCAATGAAGTTGGGACATTGTGTAAAACATAAATAAAAACAGAATATAATGACTTGCAAATACTTTTTGACCCATTTTTAATTGAATACAACACAAAGACAAGATATTTAAGTTCAAACTGATAAACATAGTTTTTTTTAAGGATAAGGATAATCACCTTTATTGGCCAAGTATGTTACACACAAGAAATTTGTTTCCAGTACAGAACTGATGGCAGCCATTTGCAGCGCCAACTCAAACAATAGCTCTAACCAATGGGGGGGGTTCAGTGTCTTACCCAAGGACACTTCGACACGTGGACTGCTGGCACTGAGATTTGAACCTTCAACCTTCTGGTTGGGAGACAACCCACCACACCACTGTCGCCTCCCCGCCCTTTTTTGCAAATATTCACTCATTTTGAATTTGATGCCTGCAACACGCTCCAAAAGAGCTGGGACAGGGGTGTTTTTACCACTGTGTTACATCACCTTTCCTTTTAACAACACTTAAAAAGTGTTTGGGAACTGAGGACACTCATTGTTGAAGCTTTGTAGGTGGAATTCTTTCTCATTCTTGCTTGATGTATGACTTCAGTTGCTCAACAGTCCGGGGTCTGCATTGTCGTATTTTGCCTTAACCAACAGACATACACATTCACACGTTGATTTACTTCATGTTTTGACTACTGCTAGAGCCAGCTGCAAAGCTGGTAACAGAGACGTCCCGGTTGACGTTTCTGTGTAGTATGGGGCTAGCCCAACCGAGGGGATATAATGTATAGGCCTGGTTTGGTTCGGGGTCTTTCATCTTACATCTGCCTGCGTGCAGTTTGGAGGTGCAAGATACTTGAGCGTGTAATGTTAATTTTACCTGTGATCCTTTGAATAAATCAGCACTATTCTGAAGTTACTTGGACTGCCTCGTCTCTCAGAGTCAGTATGGTTAAAAAGTACGGGGTACAACAGTACTAATTGTCATGCTATGCTATTATAGCAGCAATGATGTGAACGCAACTTACCTCCGTGAGAGTGTATGGCAGATTGGCGCCAATTGAACCGCACTTCCTTATTATGAATAACGAAGCAGCACGGGCTGCACCCCCTCAAGTTTGCAGGGGCACCGCTATCTATTACCACCACACACATCCCACTTCCGGAGGAAGTAACAAAATAAAATGCCATTGCAACAAATTATTTGGGTTATGGCAAATGGAATTATAACTCCGCTACATATAGGTTCGAGAGACTGTTAGAGCAGAAGGAAGCTGTTACTACAGTCCTCTCTCTTCTTGGAAAGACATCCCTGTGCTTAAGTGAGGAAGACTGGTCCACGATCACTGTTTCCATTGAAGCTCTGAAACCATTTGAGGAAGTCACAAGAGAGATATCAAATGAAAAACATGTTTCAGTTTCGAAAGTGATTCCCCTGGTGTCACTACTTCTGAGATCAACAGCATCTTATGAGTGCCAAGGTAGCAAGATAGCTGCTGAGCTGTCAGCACAATGCCAACGTCGTTTCAGAGGTATTGAAACCTTTTATGGTCTTGCTGTCAGTACCTACCTGGATGCTGTAGTTTTCAACACAATGACAGAGCATCAAAAGGGGTTCTCTGTGAAAACTGTCATAGGGCTTTGTGGGTAAAAAGCTAATAGTGCTTGGTATTTTTGTTTAGTTATTTGCACTTTAATTACTTTATTTTTTCACAAACAATTGTGTGCACTTTGTTTATAAGCGAAGACAGTGTATGAAAAGGGAAATTATTTAATCTGTTATATTAGTGAGTCTTAACAAAACAGTAAACAAAACAGCTGCTTTGTTTTCTAGTAATAATTTTGTGCACTTTGTTTTGTTCAAGCCAGTTAAGTACTGTTAAAGGGAGAA